AGGTTCACTGCGTGCAAGGCAAACACCCTACCTGCTGTACTATTGCTTCAGCCTGGAAATCTATTTTCTTTAAGAACAAACAGAAAGCACCCCTATTGAACCCAAGGCTCTGACTCTCCCACTGGAATGTCCCAGTGCTCCCCCAGGGGCGGGTCACACGCTTTGGGTTCAGACTATGGTCTAAGAGAGGGAATACCGGCAAAGAGCAGAAGAGCCGGAACAACTGGCCTGGAGATGTGGAGGCAGCATGAGAGATGGTGCTTGCTAGGCAGCGTGAGAGATGGTGCTCGCTAAGGCCCTGGGCTCGGTCCCTGGCTCCTCCCACCAAGTACGTGGGAGTCAGCTTCCCAGCGGGGGAGGAAATGCTCGTCCATAAGGCCAGGTTCCTAGAACAGCACCAGCTTTGGTCTGGACCCTCTAGTTCTTGGTCCCGACCTGTCACTTTTGCCTCAAAGAGAATCAGGAAACAGTCTCTTCTCTTCAAGGTAGCCTCCAGACAGACGGACAAGGAATGATTCTCTTCTAACAGTCTGATACCAGCTCCGTACTAGAAAGGCAATGAGTGCCTGGGAAATGACCCAAGGGAAGCGCCATATGGAGGCTGCCCAAGACAAACCAACTCAGAACAGAGGCCCTTAATACAGCCCAGCCAGAAGAGTGCACTGGCAGAAGTGGGGGGCACTCCCCGCCCTTTGGGGAAGCCCATCTTTGCACCAATTCTTCCTGCTTTCACTGGGCTGAGCTGTGCATATCCTTTGGTGCTCAGAGAGTGGCCAGGGCTTCACCTGGCAATGCTGTGGGAAGGACAGGCCCAAACCCAAGACTTTCCACATGCTATGCTGATGCTCTTCCACTTGGGTTTCATCCCCAACCCTGACTGCATCTTTTTATGTTTTGTTTTCTTTTTTCTTTTTGAGTCACATCCAGCGATGCTCAGGGGTTACTACTGGCTCTTCACTCAGGAATTATTCCTGGCGGTGCTTGGGGGACCATTTAGGATGCTGGGGATTGAACCTGGGTTGGCCTGTGCAAGGCAAATGCCCTCCCCACTGTACTATCGTTCCGACCCATGTTCTTTATTTTTCACTTGGGAAGGGAATTGGGGGCCGTATCTGGTGTGTGTAGGGGGATACTCCTAGCTCTGTGCTCAGGGGATCCTCCTGACAGTGCTCATTGAACCATGTGGTGCCAGGGATAGAACCCAGGCCTCCTGCATGCAAAGGATGTGCTCTAGGCCCCCCAATGTTCAGGTTTGTTTGGGTGGGTTTGTTTTTGTGTTTGATTTTGAGGCCATGCCTGGCGGTCTTCGGGGCTTACTCCTAGCTCTATGCTCAGGGGTCACTCCTGGCAATGCCCAGGGGACCCCAGGTGGTGATGCGAATCGAGCTGGGGATATCTGCAGGCAAGGAAAGTTCCTTAACTTCCTCACTATGTCACCAGCGCCAAACCTCTGGGTTTTAAATAATAGAAATGCTGTCCCAGTCTGTGGATCTATTTTGCTGTATTTTAAATGTTTTGGTTTGGGGGTCAAACCCAGCAGTGCTCTGTGCTTGCTCTTGGTTCTGTGCTCAGGGATGAGTTCTGGAAGTGCTCAGGGAACTGTACACATGCTAGGGATTGAACATGAACTGCATGCGTGCCAGGCAAGTGCCTTATTTGGGTATTCTTGGAAAAGTACTTACCTGGGTACTTATTCTTGGGAAAGTACTTACCTGGGTCTGCCCCTCCAACCTACATTGATTATTGATTGGTTTGTCTTTAAAGTCCATCTACGTCCATCTCGAAACTGGGCTCAGCCCTTTACTGGGAAATTGTGTAGCAGCTGCTGCTGAGGGAATAGGATGGAAGGAAGGATGTCAGAATGAGCATTGGGTCCCTTCCAATCAGACCCAGAAAGCCTTCCTGGAGGAGGCAGCATTTCAAGTGCTGGATGGAAGGGGGCCCTAGGGGGAGAGCTGAGAGATGTGGGAGAGATCATGAGTAGGAGGGAGGAGAACATGGGAGTCAGAGAAGTTCAAAGGCAGGGGAATTAAAGAGTGATGGCTGGGGTGATTCCCTCAAAGGAACCTGGTTGGGGAACCCTGAAACACAGGAGGAAATTTGGACTGGCGTGGAATTGGGCCCATACCTACCAGTGCTCAGGGACTACTTTCGGCTCTGTGCTCAGGGCCATTCCCATAGTGGTCGGGGAACCGAGTGGGTGTTGGGGATCAAGAAAAAAGAGAGAGGGGCTGGAGCAAAAGCGGGTAGAGTGTTTGCCTTGCACACGGCCGACCCGGGTTCAATTCCCAGCATCCCATATGGTCCCCTGAGCACTGCCAAGAGTGATTTTTGAGTGCAAAGCCAGGAGTAACCCCTGAGCATCACCGGGTGTGACCCAAAAAGGAAAAAAAAAGAGAGAGAAAGAAAAAACCCTCTTCCAAGCAAAGCCTTCGTGCATACACTGTAAGAGTGCTCAGTGATCTGTCTCTGGCCCAGGGGCACATTAGTCTGTTCTTTTTTTTTTTTTTTTTTTTTTTTTGCTTTTTTGGGTCACACCCAGCGATGCACAGGGGTTACTCCTGGCTTTTCACTCAGAAATCACTCCTGGCAGTGCTCAGGGGACCATACAGGATGCTGGGAATTGAACCCAGGTCGGCCGCATGCAAGACAAATGCCCTACGCACTGTGCTATCGCTCTAGCCCCTAAGGGGCAATTTTTTTTTTTTTGCTTTTTGGGTCACACCCAGCTGATGCTCAGGGGTTATTCCTGGCTCTGTACTCAGAAATCACTCCTGGCGGTCTTGGGGGACCATATGGGATGCTGGGAATCGAACCCTGGTTGACCGCGTGCAAGGCAAACACCCTACCCGCTGTGCTATTGCTCCAGCCCCTGAAGGGCAAATTCTTGACTTTGAAAAGAGCAGGAGGTGAGGGGGGACAGGAATGGAGTGCCACGGTGGAGTCCCTGTGTGTGCCATATGGAAGATCTTGTCCTACGCGACACCGGCAATAGGCCTGACGTCAATGAGGGTCTCCTGGGAGCCGAGCTGGGGCCCACGTGCCTCTTGCATCCACGTGCCGGGGCGGTGCCCGCACCCGCAGCCTCCTCGGGGCCTGTCCTTAACTACTGGGGAGTGACTGCTCCTTCCTTGGGTGACAGAGAAAGGCTGACTCAGAAGGCCTGGGAGGAGGAAGGAGGCTTGGAAAGGGGGCCGGGTTTTCTGCAGCACTGGGGAGGACGGGAGGGTGGGCAACCATCCTGGGAGAGAATGTTCCATCTAGGGGAGCCGGGGACCCCCCTGAGGAGGTGAACATTGGATGTTGAATCAGGGAGGAAATGCATGACTGTGTGGGTGCTTTGAAGAAGGTGGGGGGGCAGTAACCAATCATCAGGGTTCCAGGTGGGTGTGGGTGAATGGGAGCTGGTGGAGAGCTGAAAAAAAAATCTGCCACCTCAGGGGGCAGGAGGTACAGTTCCTAGGGGGACATGGTCTGGAATGAAGTCCCAAGCTCATGTGTGGGTTCAGCAGCCCAGATCACAGGGGGTCCCCAGGGTTGACTGGGAGGAGCACAGGGATGACTTTGATGATTTGGCTGCATTCACAGGTAGGGGTTCTGCTCCCCTTTTAATCTGTATCCAGGACTAAAGCTTGCAGAAGAAGCTGCAAGATTCCTGGGTCAAAGAGATAGGACCAGGGGTAAAGAGTTTGCCTTGCACCCCACCCACCCTGGTCTGGTTTCCCAGCCCTGCATAGGCAGGAATCCCCCCGTAGCACAAGGCCAAGAACAGCCGGGGATCACCCGCAAGGCCAGGAAAAGCCCCTGAGCACAAGCAGGGATCACCTGGGAGCACAAGGCCAGGAATCACCTACAGGGTGTGGCCCAAACCACCATCTTTCCCCCCAGGCTCCCCACAAAATGAAGCTGAAGATTCCTGGTGTGGAGAGCCACGGGCGCAGAGAGCAGGCCCTCCTGGTGAGGGTGGACACATCCGAGGAGTCAGACAGAGCAGTCCCAGTCTCATTCGGGCTCAGGATCCTCAGCAGGGCTCCACCGGACCCCAGGACTTCAGAGGCTCTTTGGATGGGGAGGACCCACTTGGCCTTATAGCTGACAGCTGAGAGTGGGGACATCTGGGCACTGAATGGTAGGAAACACTTAAGGACAAAAGCCACCTTAACCTGGCCCCAGGTAGGGCTGGAAGTTGGACTAACGGGCCTAGTGTGCTTCATCATTGGAAACCCCCCCCCCCCATCTATCCCCCTCCCTGTGGACACCAACTGAGCCAGTGTGCAGCTGTTCCCCAAGGACCGGCCATCCATCACTCACCCAGGACTGGGGATGAGAGGGTGTTGGGGCGGGACTAGAGCCCAGTTCCTCTTCCGAGAACCGGGGAAAGAGCAGCCTCAGGGGTCTCTCAGACCCGCACCCCGGAGCCAGGAGTTGGGCTGTGGTGTGCAGGGCGACCCCGGCCCGGCTAGCTCCCCATCACCGGCGAGAATGGGGGTGGGGCAGCCCCTGGCGGAGGCAAGGGAGGAGAGTGACAAAAGGGCACCCACTGGACCCAGCACACAAATACCCTCTAGAGTCCGCATGGCCGATGAGGGCACTCACAGCCCACGCCGCCCCCCGAAAGGTCGGGGCAGGCTAGCCCACGGCGTCTCTGCCATACCGCGAACCAGTGCATCAAAACAAGCTGATCCCCGGGACCCAAGAACCTGGGGGTGACCGTGCAGGCGCCCCTTCCCAGTCCGGACCCGGAGGGAGACCCCGGCGACACCATCCTTATCCCCTCCCCTCCGCTTTTTCGGAGAAGGACCCGAGACAGCGGTGGGGGCGGGGAAGGGGAGGGGGCGGGACCCATGTGGGCGTGAGAGAGTCTATTGGTCTTCGGAGCTGTCGGTCAGGAGGACAACTCGGGCGCGGATTGGCTGCGCGGAACGGGGCGCGGCGCGGCGAAAGCCCGGGCCCAAGGGGTGGGGCTGACGCTGCAGCTGGCGCAGCTCAGACTCGGTTCAGCCTCCGCCGAGCAGCCGGGCAGCCGCCTTCCCCCCGCGCCGGTCCCCGCGCCCGGGCCGGGGCTAGGCCCCCCACCGCCGGGTCCCCCGGGGCTGCAGCAGCAGCGGCGGCGGCGGCGGCGGCGCCACCCGCGGTTCCCGCCGGGGCCCGGGCGCCGGCCCCGCTCTGCAGGATGGGCACGGTGCTGTCGCTGTCCCCCGCCTCCTCGGCCAAGGGCCGGAGGCCCGGCGGGCTGCCGGAGGAGAAGAAGAAGGCGCCGCCCGCGGGGGACGAGGCGCTGGGGGGCTACGGGGCGCCGGCCGGAGGCAAGGGCGGCAAAGGCGAGAGCCGGCTCAAACGACCGTCCGTGCTCATCTCGGCGCTCACCTGGAAGCGCCTGGTGGCCGCGTCGGCCAAGAAGAAGAAAGGCAGCAAGAAGGTGACGCCCAAGCCGTCGTCCACGGGCCCCGACCCCCTGGTGCAGCAGCGCAACCGCGAGAACCTTCTCCGCAAGGGCCGAGACCCCCCCGACGGCGGCGGCGGCGGCGGCGGCGCAGCCAAGCCCCTCGCCGTGCCGGTGCCCACCGTGCCCGCCGCCGCGGGCGCGGGCGCGGGCGCGGGCGAGCCGCCGTCGGGGGGCAGCGGGGCCGCCCCGGCGCCGGGCTCGGGCGGGGGCAAGCCGCCGCCGCCGCCGCCGCCGCCCCTCGGCCCGCAGGCCGCGCCGCCCGCGCCCGGCGGCACCCCGCGCCGGGTCATCGTGCAGGCGTCCACGGGCGAGCTGCTGCGCTGCCTGGGCGACTTCGTGTGCCGCCGCTGCTACCGCCTCAAGGAGCTGAGCCCCGGCGAGCTGGTGGGCTGGTTCCGCGGCGTGGACCGCTCGCTGCTGCTGCAGGGCTGGCAAGACCAGGCCTTCATCACGCCCGCCAACCTGGTGTTCGTGTACCTGCTGTGTCGCGAGTCGCTGCGCGGGGACGAGCTGGCGTCGGCCGCCGAGCTGCAGGCCGCCTTCCTCACCTGCCTCTACCTCGCCTACTCCTACATGGGCAACGAGATCTCCTACCCGCTCAAGCCCTTCCTCGTGGAGCCCGACAAGGAGCGCTTCTGGCAGCGCTGCCTGCGCCTCATTCAGCGGCTCAGCCCGCAGATGCTGCGGCTCAACGCCGACCCGCACTTCTTCACGCAGGTCTTCCAAGACCTCAAGAACGAGGGCGAGGCCGCCGCCGCCGGGGGTCCCCCAGGCGGGGGCGCGCCCGTGGCCCCCGTCGCCGCCGCCGCCGCCGCCGCCGCCGCCTCCTCCTCGGCCGCCAGGGACAGCTGCGCGACCGGGGCCAAGCACTGGACTATGAACCTGGACCGCTAGAGAGAGCCGAGGGCCGTGCCCGCACCCCCGCCCCAGCCCCGGCCCGAGGGGGGCCCGCCCGCGGCGGCGCCTGCGTTTGCGGGGCGTAGCAGCGGTGGTGGTGGGGGGCGGAGGGGTCTGAGCGCCGGGAGAGGGGGGTACCACCCCCCACAGCCTCACCCCTTCTGTCTGTAAGCGCCCCCGTTTCTCCAGTTGTGCCCGGGGCCTCCTCGTTCCCTTCAGGGTGTGTCTGTAAATCCGTGTACCCTAGGTCTGTCCACTTCCTCACCTCCTTCCTGGGCCTCCGGCCTCCCCGTTTTTCCGCTCGCGGGGTGCGTTCCGCCGCCGTCTCCCTCTCGCCCCCCGACCTGGCTCTTCTTCCTGGCCTCTCTTTTCTTGCTGCCCCTGTGTTCCCCCCCTCTCCAGCCCAGCGCCCCCTTTTCCCCCTCCTCCTAGGTTAGCTTGCGATTCTTCCCCCCCACCCCTGTGCCCCCCCAAGCCCCACCCCTTTCCCAGACCAAAGGGAACTGAAGTTCTGAATTTGGACGGACTGAGGGTGCAGCCAGAAACTGTAGCCTCCCCCTCGCCCCCAAGAGCCTCGACCGCCCCCCTCCCCACCCCCAGGACGATCCTTCGCCGCCCCCCGCCCCCACCCTTACCTTTTCCAACGTGTTGCATGCCGGGAGTTGGGGGAGGGGTGCCGCTAATTGGAGGTTGAAGTTTGGGAGCAAAATCAACCTGGAAGGCCACCCCTGGCGGCGGCGGCAGCGGCAGCAGCAGCGGCGCCTCCTCGGCAGGGTGGAAAGGGACCGAGAACTCTTTCATTCCGGGAGAGGAGCACCCCTCTTCCTTATCCTTAGGTGTTTATTTTTTTTTAAATTTTTGGTTCGTCCGTTTGTCTCCCCCCCCCCCCCAACTTTTAATTTATTCGGTTGTTTCCAAAGGGAGGGGGGGAGGGGAGGGTTGGGCCGGGAGCTGTCTGAGGTGCTGATCTGAGTCCGGACCGGAGTCTCTTCCCGGGAGGGTACCAGGGACTGGGTTGGGTCTGGTGCCGCGGCTAAGGTGCCAACGATGCGGGCCGACAACGCGGGCCGCACTGTCTGTCTGTCCGTCTGTCCCGGAGAGAACTATAAAGCGCTGCACGCGCCTGCACATGGTCTTGTGCCGGCCTTTCTTTGGGTCCTGGAGGGAGGAAAGGGTGGGGGAGGGGGGAGGGAGGGAACGAGGAGATGTCCCAGCGCCGGCAGGAGGGTCCCCATGATGCTCCCACGGGGAGGGGACAAGCTAGAGAGGCCGGAGGACCCGGATCTGCCATTTGGCTTCCATTTTGCAGAGTCCAGCAAAGCAACGCAAGCCCGAATGATTGATAAAGATGAATTCTACCCCAGCCTCCTCCCACCCCCAGCGTCTGCTCCCACCCAGCTCCTCCTTCAACCCAGACCTCTTAGGGCGGCAGTGAGGAGGAGCAGAAGTTACTTCCCTTCTACTTCCCTTCCCAGCTACCACCCTTGCCTTCCTCATCGGTCTCCACCTCCCTCTTAAGACAAAAATCCCTGGACCAGAACCCACATAGGCCTGAGGAAGCCTGTGTCCTCTCCCGCAGGTGTCGCCTGACACGCAGCCCCACAAGCTTCTCATCCACCCATGGGGCTGCCCCAGGGCCCCTGTGTCCCATAGCGCCCAGTGCAAACTGGGGATGGGGGTGGGGGTTGGGCTGGCGGTTCAGATCTAACCCCTTCAGCCCCCCAGGCCAGCGTCCCCTAGCCAGGGAAATGGGAGCCCTCCTTTGCGGGTCAAAGAGGAGAAATAAGCGATTCAGCCTGAGAGCATCCTCTATTGCCTCCCTAGCCACGTGGCTCAGTGCAGCGGTCCCCGTGGCTCAAGGAGGCCCAGGTCCAGCACGACCGTGGGACCACGGAGGTCCGGACCTAGCAGAGCCGTGGCTGTCTAGCCTGCAAGGCCTCCAGGCACCCCAAGCGAGCCCTGTGAGGGGTCCTCCCCCAGCAAAGACAAGCCGGGTTCGCTATCCGTGGTGCTGACACGGATGCGCCGGAGCAGGGTGGGAGGGGGCGTGGAGGGGTAGCCGGGGTGGCGAGCTCGGCCGCAACTACGTCTTGCGGGTCGTTCGCGAGCAGGGTGGCGAGCGGCTGGAGCCTGTCCCCGAACCCCCAGCGACGTGGCCATCCGCTGGCCCTCCCAGGAGGACCGACCCGCACCATGCCCCAGCCGCGGCCGGGCGCCCTTGCTCTGGTCCTGCGGCCGGAAACCTCCAGTCGAGATTTGTGAATCGAGTTCCCCGGGGGAGTGGGGCGGGGGGAGGGCTGGCGGAAGGGGAGGCGCGAGCAGCCGCCCATTGGCTGGAATTTGGCGCAGTCAGCGCGGTGCCGTCATCTCTCGGGGTTGCAGGGGAGGGAGGGAGCAGGACTTGGGTCACCGGGCTGTCGCCATAGAAACCAGACGTGTGGGCGGGGCCCCATCCCCACTCCGCTCACCTCCAGCCCCCAGAAGCCACCCAGGGCCGTCTGACTCGGAACTAGTTACCCAGCCTACCTGCTCGGAATGTCTGGGGAGATGGGAAAGAGAGCAGAGCCCTGATCATTCTGCCCTAGGTTGGGGGCGGGGATGGTGGTGGCCGGGACCCACAGACACTACCCCTTCCTATATGCATGCGCGCGCACACACACACACACACACACACTCTCGCACGCACACGCGCGCACCCTTTCCAGAAGCCTGTGATCCGGCACCTGCAGATCTAGAAGGGGAGGGGGGACTCATAGAGAGTGTCACATTAATAAAATTTCATTTCCCTCGTCCCCGCCCCAAGCCTGAGACATTAACATTATCCGATTAGGGGGTGAGGGACCCCTAGAGTCACATACAGGAAAGAGATAGCCGTTCAAATTTGGGGGAGATCCCCAGAAGAGGGGAGACTGGCTATTTTTCTGGGAAGGGAGTGCAATGCTAAAGCAAAGACAAGCGCCTTCTTTAGACTGCCCGGATGTGAAATCCGGAAGGTGGGTCCGGGCTGAGGACCCCGAGGTCTAGAACGAGCCCCGCGGAGGCGGGGAGAAGAATGCAGAGATGAGACAGACCCGAGCTAGACGGTGCCACGCGGTGACTCAGCGCTTCCCCTCCGCAGAGCACCGGGCTAACTCCGCCAGCGCCGGAGAGGGGAGGGCAGGGGAAGGGAAGGGGGCGAGTCAATGGGCCTCTCAACGATGGGCGATCCACGCATTTGCACGACCCACGCAGATACTAGCACTGACACACAGCCAGAGGCACTAGTCATCCCCAAGCAGGTACCCGCTGGCTCCGCCAAAGTACAGGCACGGTTTCCGCTTTTCCTCCCCGCATCCTGGAGAGATTTGCTTGCCCGTCCCTGGAATACCTTGGTACTTAATGGGAAGAGAAATGCAAAACAAAAACAAAACCGGAGGCGCGGGGGGGGGGGGGGGGGGGGGGAGGGCTTGGGAGGGAGTGTTGTCATGGTAACTGTTTTGCCTGCCAATCAGGGTGCCCAGCAACCAGAGCATCTGGCAGTATCCAAGGGGACATCCTGTGGCTTCTACCCATTAGGACTCTGCATCAGGTGCCCAGATGGGCATCTGGAAGATTTCTACAACAGAGACTGCCCAAGCTGCTCCCCCAGGCATAGCCCCCAGGTATGGGGGAACTGGCTTCCACTCTCTTCATATCCCTCAGTAAAAGGTACACAGGTCTTTTTTAGCTCTACGTTTATAGAAGCAGCAGGTGCTTGGCCTGGACTCAAGGCAGCAGGAATTCACCTAAGAGTCTTTAGTTAGGACTGTTACCTGTCCCACTCTACACGTTGATGTCCACCCAGTGGGAAAGTCATACATGGGCAAGGTGTATCTAAAGGGGGCACAGGTGTTAATTTAAATCAAATATGAGAAGAGAATGGGTACAAGATAGGGACATGGCAGGATAGGGTACAGGATAGGGACATGCAATGCCCAGCATTGCATGTGGTCACCTGAGCCCTAGCAGGTGTAATCCCTGAGCACAGACTCAGGAGATTCCTCAAGCACTGTTGGGTATGGGCCTAATTCCTTACTCCACTCCCTTTCATTTTTGTTTCTCTGGATCCTTTTCACTATTTCTTTAACTATTAATTGCTCCCAAGATCTCTTTCTTCTGGGATTATTATTGACTAGTGCCGGGGACCAGGCAGGGGTGAACAGGCCTGAAGCAGGGGCACTGTAGGGATTCAGAAAAGAGACAGAAATAAGGGAGAAAAACAAGTGATCAGGGGCCAACAGCCTCATGGACTGACAGCTCTGACTTTCCTCAGCTTACAGTATTTATTGATTAGAACCATTCAATGTCAGGAGAACTACAACATTCTTTAGTTGGATCAGACTTTTACATATCTGAAGGTATTGATCAAATATAAATGTAAACATATTTAGTTGAACATAAATATAAACATGCGGGTTGGAGAGATAGCACAGCGGGTAGGGCATTTGCCTTGCATGCGGCCAAAATGGCTGACCCGAGTTCGATTCCTCCGCCCCTCTCGGAGAGCCCGGCAAGCTACTGAGAGTATTTTGCCCACACGGCAAAGCCTGGCAAGCTACCCGTGATGTATCAGATATGCCAAACACAGTAACAAGTCTCACAATGTTACTGGGCCCGCTGGAGAAAAATTGATGAACAATGGGAAGACAGTGACAGTGACAGTGACATTTTTATATATGGTAACCTGAAAAAGGAGAGGTCGTGATAATATAATAGAGCAAGAGGTATTTGTTTACATTACTACCTTCTTACCTTTATTCCCATACGAATAATTTACATATTCTGACCCCCCCCCCAAAATATAACATCAAGAAAACCTAAAAGGAGTCAGAACAATAGTATGGCAGGGAGTGCATTTGCCTTGCATGTGGCAGACCCTGGTTCGATCCCTGGCATCCCATATGGTCTCCTGAACACTGCCAGGAGTGATTCCTGAGTGCAGAGTCAGGAGTAACCCCTGAGTACCACTGGGTGTGGCCCAAGACTCTCCTCCCAACAAAAAAATATGATTTAAAAACCCATCTAGCTTTACTATTAAC